CAAGGACTTATTTGTTCCAAAAAAAAGTTCAAGGACTTAATCATTCCAAACAAGAAAGTTCATTGGTTTTTATTATACTTTTCCCTATCATAAAATATTTGATAAAATTTTTTAAAAACTATTTTTTATACGTTAAGTACTGTTTATCGATGCATATTACTTAAAATTGAAGATTACAAGTAAAATGTGCGTAAGTATAACTTATTAAAGTTATATGTATAAATTCATGTACTTACTGCAGATAAACATAATCAAGTACATGATAAACATTTTTTTTTAAATCAAAAAATTTAAAATATAATTAAGATAATCATTTAGTTCGAACATAATACTTAATAATTATCGTTATAAAAAATTATAACATTGAACCAAAAACAAATTAATTCATTATTAAACTTAATTTAAATTATAATATAAAATTGAATTATAGAAATTACATAAAAAATAAAACCTTTAAATAGTTAATTTGATATATATATTTTTTAATATCTTCAAATTTATATTTTATTTAAAAATAAAAATATTATCGTTTTCTCAACAACATAAACCCATATTATAGCATTGTCAGAAACAAAATAAAACGACACATTAAAATCAAAATATATCTCGCTGCGTTAGACAAATACCTTGTAGTTTTAATAACATAATTAGATAGAACATGTAACCTAAAGTCGATAAACCCTCTAATAATCTCGTGGGAACTTAAACATGTAACTTTTACGGTTGATCTAGCCACATTAACCAAATAGATTGGTACGATAATGCCTTCATCGCAGGAAGTCGATCAAGAAGTCAGTTTTAGTCTTGGCAGGTTCGTTCGTATTAACCTGCAAATTTTCTCAGGGCTCTCCACGAGACCGATGACTCGCGCATGTCGAAAGCAAAATTCTTCGTAATCGCACTCGTTTGCAGTTTCTCGTGGTATATTTTCCCCGGCTACATTTTCGCGACGCTCTCCAACCTCTCGCTCCTCTGCCTTTTCTTCACCAAATCCGTCATCGCTCAACAAATTGGTTCAGGAATGAAAGGGCTCGGGTTTCTATCATTCACGCTAGACTGGTCGGTCATAGCGTCATATATCGGAAACCCACTCGTGACCCCATTTTTCGCCATCCTAAACGTTTATGTTGGCTTTGTCATCGTCATGTACATTGTACTTCCTATTACTTATTGGGGGTTCGACTTATATAAGGCAAAAACTTTCCCCATTTTCTCGTCGCATCTTTTTGATGGTCACGGACAGGTTTATAACGTGTCCGCGATCGTCAATGAAGATTTTGAGATAGATATGGCCCGGTACAACGAACAAGGGCAAATACATATGAGCATGTTTTTCGCGCTCACTTATGGCCTCAGTTTTGCGGCCATCGTCTCTACGATAACACATGTTGTCTTGTTTACGGAAGGTACGTATTGCTTTTACGACTCTACCAATGATTTAAAAACTTGTACTAATATAAACATTATATTGTATTTTTTTGTTCAACCGCAGAGAAATAATGAACCAATTTCGAGCTTCGACTAAAGGAAAGATCGATATACACACAAGACTCATGAGGAAATATGACGATATACCCGATTGGTGGTTTTACGTGCTTGTTGGCGCTTCGTTTCTTCTCTCACTCGTGCTTTGTATTTTCATGAAAGATCAAATCCAAATGCCATGGTGGGGGCTCATTTTCGCGTGTGGTCTTGCATCGATCTTTACTCTTCCGATCAGCATCATAACTGCGACTACAAATCAGGTATATATACACACACACCCCATGAAACCCCGTAAATTACTTGTTTTTGGACGCCGTATTTTATGATTTTCTCGACGTTTATTTGTTTCAGACTCCCGGGCTAAATACCATCACGGAATATTTGATGGGAGTCATATATCCGGGAAGGCCGATAGCTAACGTTACTTTCAAAACCTACGGCTATATCAGTATGGCTCAAGCGGTTTCGTTCCTCAATGACTTCAAATTAGGCCATTACATGAAGATCCCCCCTCGCTCGATGTTCTTAGTTCAGGTAAACTTAAATTCGTGTTTACTTTCTATTCAACTATATATTGCCACAAAAAATCCTATTAGCGACGGTATACTATCAACTAGCAGCAACAAAACTGTAGCAAATAGTTTTAGCGACTACAAGATTAAAGATGCAACAAACAAATGTCTGATTATGGTGTTTAATGAACTCACGTACATATACTACAGATGGGTATATAACGTTTGTCCCATTTTGATTTATCTCGTGGACAGTTTATTGGAACCATCATCGCGGGTACTATTAACATCTCGGTCGCATGGTGGCTATTATCAACCGTTGAAAACATCTGTCAGGATCAATTACTTGCTCCTGATAGTCCTTGGACTTGCCCCTCAGACCGTGTCTTTTATGACGCTTCTGTCATTTGGGGATTGATAGGGCCCAAACGAATATTTGGTTCTCTTGGCCCTTATTCAGCCCTCAATTGGTTCTTTTTGGGGGGCTTCCTTGGCCCCTTGCTCGTATACTTGCTTCATAAGCTGTTTCCAAACCAAAAATGGATCAAACTAATCAACTTGCCGGTGATTTTGGGGTCGTCTGGGTACATGCCTCCGGCCACCAGCGTGAATTTCAATAGTTGGGCTTTCGTTGGTATGGTCTTCAATTTCTTCGTGCTGAGGTATCGGAAGAGGTGGTGGCAAAGGTACAATTACGTCCTCTCGGCAGCTCTTGACGCCGGTTTGGCATTCATGGGAATACTTGTGTATTTTTCGCTCTCGATGTCCGATATCGGAATTTCGTGGTGGGGTACCGATGGCGAGCATTGTGGTTTGGCTGATTGTCCAACAGCTGAAGGTGTAGTCGTCGATGGTTGTCCGATCAATTAATTTGAATGTTCAAATTCAAACTACAAGTTTTAAGTTATTATTTAATTTCCTGTCATGAATATTGATCATTGTTTTTGGTAATATATCACAAAAAGATATATACGTTCCGTATGTTTTATGAGTTTTGAATCTTAAACTCCTGAAATGTTGCTTTTGGTCAACACTGATCATTTACCACCAATGATTGTGGCTGCCATTTTTCAGCTAGTTCTTAATCGGTTAAGAACATCTCGAGTAAATTTTTTAAGTTTTTTTGGAGAATTAAAAATCAAATTTTTTAAAAGGATCGGCTATAATTGTTTTTCTATTTAGAAAATTACAAATATTCCATACAATTAATAAAATATTATTTCATCTTCTAAATATTTAATTTCAAGGATTTTTTTAAAAGATGTCCACGCGTAGCATGGACTAATCTCGATAGATTGAGACAGTAAGAAATCAACCATGATAAACTCAGTTGCCACAACTGTTATGTATGTCTTGAAATCAAACACTGGACAAATGGAATATTCCACCAAATCTTCCGCGACCTCAACCACTACATTACAACTCTTGCAGTGCGGTTTAATTTTAAGGATTATTATCGGTGCAACTAATAATAAAATCTTTTCTTTCCTATAAGCAATCGTTTTCGAAGGGGTTTTTAAAATGAGAAATTAATTAAAATAGTCATCTTTTGGCTTGTGGTTTCACCTCTTAGCGTTTCACTCCAACAATCATCAAAATATTAATACCCTGCAAGTGGTGTGCCAGTGACTTACGGAAGTAGGTAAACAACAATTTTTTTACAGTTCCACCCAGGTTCACAAGTGGCACAACCGCAATTGCGGACCTGGTGCATGACTTCAAAAAAAAATTGCAGTTTCTATCCAGTTTTGCAATTGACACCTCCACAACTTGCGGAGGTACAACTTGTTAGTCTAGAGAGAAATCCTAAATTGGTATATTCTAGAAACAGTTGGGAGGTTGGGCCCGCAATTACAACCCCCACCTACCAACATTAAAACGGCAAGTAGGGTTACCCCAATAAATTGTATATAAATAACGTAGGAGAAGATCATTTTTTGTAAACGAAAGAATTTCCTCTGTCCGCAAGTTGGTCTTCCACATCAATAACTCCGCAAGTATTTACTAATGGTTGGTCAAGTGAGTTTTTTCTCTATCCCATGTAAATTTAAACCAATTCTTTAACTATGTTAGATGATTGTGTAGTTTGATTGCATGTTATAGTTTATAATTATATATTTCTTTCCTATGTTGAATCTACATTTTACGTATTCTTTTATGCATGAATCTTCAATTTAACACCATTTTTAAAATCATGAACGTTCATGAAAAATAGATCCGCAACTTGTGGACCTATTCTGTATGGGCGTTTGTGACTTCCTTTAAAATGGGGTAATATTTTGTCCCCATGCTTATAGAAAGTTAAAATTGCAATCACTGTTTTCATAGTAATTTACATTTTGTACTTGTATTTAGTGTAGTGTAAGTAGTTACGATTTTGGTCCCCATACTAAGAACCATCTACATATTTGGTCCTTGGATTTAGAGTAATTATATATTTGGTCCATGTACTTAGAGTAATTACATTTTTGGTCCCTGTAATTATAGTAGTTACATATTTGGTTCCTCTAATTAAAGTGGATAAATATTTGGTCCATGTAATTCGAGTAGTTACAGGTGTTGTCCCTATAATTAAAGTAGTTACAGATTTGTGGTTAGAGTAGTTATAAATTTGGTCCCTATAATTAGACTAGTTACAAATTTGGTCCTTATACCTAGACTAATTTACATATTGGTTCCTGTAGTTAGACTAGTTCACATATTTGGTCTTTGTACTTAGACTAATTTGTAGTAAGTAACTTTTTTTTAGAGTAATATAGTTTTGGTCCATGTCATTATAGTAATTATAGTTTTGGTCCCTATACTTAGAATAATTACATTTTTGGTTAAGCATAACAATTGAACTACAATGTAGGATGGTTTTTATTGCACGTCGTTGACACCCAAGAGTCAAATATCTATTGTATCAGACAACAAGGTCATGTTGGCCATGTTTAGGTCAACTTGTTTCGGTCCATGGTTAAACATTATCATGGTTGGTGGTGACTACATGCTCATCCACATGTTCCTATAGATACCTGTTTTATTACATAATGTATGCGATGAAGAGATGTGGTTTGAGATTGGTGATCAGTATCTCCGCTATGGGAAGGAGTTGTCTTCTGCAAGGACACTGCTTTGGGCCCGAGTTGAGCATTAAGATGCCACGAGAGGACTGTTTCATTTGTAGGGTACTTCCAGACATAGATTCGGATGAGGATGACAGATAGTTGAGGGTGTCCGATGTTGGGAATACATTTAAGAGCATTGACCCGTTATTAGATGATGATGTTGTCTGAGTATGTTTGTTGCTGATGGTAGTGGTCGGGTTTCTTGGCCATCAATGTCATTTGGTGGTTAATGAGACGCTGATTAGAGCTATAGAGGATCTTAAAGTTTGGAACCGGTTTCCATGGGGATTCTATATTTGGGCTCCCGCTTTTATATAGATGAATGGTGTGATCCAGAAATGAGCTGACAAAAAATATAAGATGACTATGACGGGATTTTTATACGCACTCAAGGTTATTATAAATTAAATATTTATACATTTGAAATAGTTTTCTTTTCTTAATGTTTTACTTATTTGTTTGGTATGTAATTATAGATATGGATTTTCGAGATTTTTTCCCATCGTTAATAAATATCTTGTATACACAGACAGGTTACCTATGGCAGTTTAATGGGATAGGATTTTCATCCTCATTAAGGCTCTTTGCTTGGATATTTTTGATGTGTCCACGATAAGTTTCGTTTTTCCAGTTTAAACACTTAAATTTTATTTACTAAGTTAATTTTGAACCTGTAATGTCATATGTTTTGAATATATTAGCCTCAGAGGAGGCAACACGAGAGGCTTTTACAAATGCTTGTGACGATCAACCGTTATGGTACATGGAGAGCCATCGATTTTTTGACAGTGTAGAGGGCCATCGACCATCGAAGAGGCCGAGATGATCGAAGAGGCCTATATAGATGCCACAAAGTTCATCATTACATGGAGGTTCTTTTCCATAGAGCGACGCCATCCCTGATGATGAATAAGCCCCAACATCATCCAGAGGTTATCTAGGGATATGAGCCCCCTTTCTAGATGACACCTCCCGACCATCACTAGATGCCACCTTCTGACCCGTATACATCAAGCTGGGAGCAGTTTTTGACCCTCATGACCAATTACTATGGCTACAGGGTCGTTCACGAGCCTCTTCATGAGGAGATGGAAAGACACACTCATGAGGTGGAGAGGCTTTTCCAACAGTTCAACTCTTGGCATGTAAGTGTTTAAGAGTATAAGACAAAACAATATTGATGCGTAAGATATAGATCTAGCATTGAAGGAATAGTTGATGACTTTTTTAGGTATAGTTGATAACTTGCTCAAGCTTTACATTGCATTTAGATAGTCATAGTATCACTATACACCACTTCAAATCATGGTTAGACAAACATTTGACGATCAATATTTTTAAAGGACGGTGCTGGAGCATGAAGGCCTTGAACGACCGAAAAAATCTGTTGGAGCATATTTGTGTGCTGTTACAACTTCAAGTTCACCTATGCTGCCGGAAAGTTTGGTGAATAGAGGCAGCAACCTTGAAGTTTGCAGTAGCCTCATGTCTCTGATTTGTGGTCCAACGCTTATTAAGATGAGGTCGGTTTTTGCTGAGAACATGGAGGCCTATAAGTCTTCAAACCTGGATGTGATTTATAGTACCTTGGTGAGAACTGTATCCAGGGCTGACAACATTAGGCTTATATCCTCAACCATGTCGTAGTCACTGGCTGAGGGTTCCTTCAAAAAAGGACTTGAAAGATTAGATATAGGAGTATGGAGCTTTGAGGAGCTCATGTTTAGAAATGAAAGAAGAGGTGGGTAAAAATGAAGTACCTGAGGGTCCTTCAGAGTTGTCCAAATGATCAACTTTGAGAGTGTCATCAATGGTGTCATGGGGATCAACATTTATTTCCTAAGGTTTCTCATGAGTATCATCCTCAACTCCTATGCCCGTTGTTTGTTGATCCCAGATCTCTCAATAACACTAATAATTAAGTTGAGATTAACCTAATTATAGAGTTTGGATGAATAAAATGATGAACACTCAAGAACAATTGATAAACATTCAAAGAATATACTTGAGTGTCAAAGGTTTCACTTTATTTCAATGATTGTGAAAAACATAAAAGAGTCAAAGATTACAATAAGCCTAACCACCTATTTATACTAGTAATCTAACTAAGAAGATAACTATCTAGTGAGACTATTTAGCTAATCTTCTAAGAAAAGATAAAGCTTATCTAAACATGGATAATCATCAATACAAGACAAACTTTGTAGAATCCAGCTGTTGATTTGTCATCTCCATCTGTCTTCCATGGGGCGTTGTTTCAACCTTATCTTCATATCTTCATCGCATGCCTCTAGTTGAACTAGTGAAGAAAACTCCAAGTGTTGATACCCAGAGGGGTTATGAAGATGCACTTTCCATCGCATCTCTGGTCAGTTCATCGACCATTTGGTTGTTGTTCAGACTTAGCCATTTTGCCTTGAAGTCTTCCATCAGCCTTCTGGTTCTTCATCACTTGTTTGTCTTCATTACTTCCATACATAAGACTTATGGGGTCTAACAATCTCCCCCTAAGTAATGAAAGAACATACATGAACTAATCTAGGAACATTTAAATTATACGTGATGAACAGAGGCTAATCTAAAGAAAGACATCCTTTGCCAAATTTTCATTCAAACAAAATGATGAACTCCTACAGTGATGAACAGAAGATATTACAATTCAAAGCATAAGTAAAACTACATTCATGGTCTCCCTTGTGATATTTCCCAAAAGCGCATTAACAGTCCTTTGTATTGAATGACTGTAGAGATCTCATGAAT